CTAGGGCCAAAATGTTGGCTGACCTTGCAGCCCTTCCTTTTCTCCAATTTTGATCTGCTAACTTAGGTTGTTAACCCTCCAGAAGAGAAGCTAATCATTAACCTGCAATATATGCAGTTTGGTTTACCCTATCTGTCTAAGTATCAAACTCACAAATGGATTTATGTATTCAATGGGGTTCCAGAGATTCTTACTGAACTTGCCAAATTGATTTTAAAATTTACATGGAAAATCAAGGAGCTAAGATAGTCTAGGTACACAATAAGGAAAAGAAGAAAAAGAATAAGGGACTTGTTCTACCAAGTACAAGACTTATTCTTATGCCATGGAACTAAGGACAGGGATATAATGACCAAGGCTGAGACAAAGGGAAGAAGCAATTTAAGAGAGACCCTTCTTAATCTATGAAAGTGGTCGTGTAGAGAATCGGGGACAGTGGAGACTGCACCCTAAATGGTACTAGAACAATTGTGCATTGACGTGGAAATATTTAAAATGGACAAATAATGAAAGAATTACATTTATTCCAACCTTGCACCATATACATAAATAGAGTTCCACGCAGAAAAAGTCATAAATATACACAGCAGAACAGTGCATGTTTTAAGAGGAGTTGTAGGGATAGAGATATCTGTTAGCTCTTTCTAAAACATCACATCAAAACCAGTAAGCATAAAGAAAAACACTGAAAAGTTTAATTAGATGACGGGCCAGGGACATAGCCCAGTGGCATAAGTACTTACCTGGCAAGCACAGGGTCCTGAGTTCAATCCTCATACTCTCCCCCACACCCCCCCAAAAAAAAAAAACCTACATGAAAACAAGCAGCATAAAAGACAAGCACAATCTAAGGAGAGCATATTCACAAGGTAAAATCAACAAAGGCTTAGCATCCAGAATATTTAAAGAACTTAAGCTTAACATGAAAAAGACAGCTCTAGTTATTATCTTTTTGTTCCCCCCATGAAGAGGTTTTCTACTTTTCTGATAAGTAAGAAAGCAAAAGCGTCAAGACTAGAAATGAGGGGCTGGTGAGATGGCTCTGTGGTCTAAAGCACCTACTTAGAACAAGCT